GAAGGTGTTTTAAGAACATTTTTGAATATGCAAATTTTGGCTAATTGCGGAATTACCACCAGCCTGAAGCAGATGTATAAAGTTAAACCATGTATTGTTACAAAAAAGACTCAAAATCTAAGTAATAAATTAATAAAATTGCAGATAATAAGTAACAAATATCAAACTAATGTGCAATTATCAATGAATATTTTCATACATCAGTTGGTGTTACAATAAAAAGGAAGAGATGTCACATTTTTAAAATCAATTGTAACTCAAAATAAATGCTTCAAATCAAAAATTGGCTGTAAAGTTTGACTCAAAATTAACCCTTCAAATTTTTTACACACCTTTCTGTTATACCCTGTATATATAGATACAGAATACAGATTGCCAGTCAAGCCAGCTAGATGGCAACTAGGGTTTCTCATTTCCTGGTCTTTTGCTTGTCCCGGGATCCCGGGATAAAAGTGAACTGTTTCCCGGGATACCGGGAAATCCCGGGATAGAATTAATTATTTTTAAGGTATACAAAATATCTTGAAATCAAATGATATAATTATTTTCCATTTTTTAAAGTAATTTTAAAGTTTTGTAACCTCCAAAATCATATTAATAATGCTGTGTTAGGTCTATAGGCCTATAATAAAAATTACCTTTAAATAACGTAGAAATTTTCACAAATAGAAAAAAATTAATTAAAGTTTGCTGGAAACTGCATACAACAACAACAAAAAAAATGTTTTGAATTGAGTTAAAAATTAAAAAAATGAACTTCTAATTTAGAAGGTAATTTTCGTTTTTTAAATAAAATATAATACAAAATATTGCAAACTTTTATAAGATTTTAAAAAGCAAAGATGGTCAATACTCCGATAACTCACTCTAATTCTTATTTTAGTAATGAAAAGTCTTGCCACCGAGAATGCCCTTTCCGATTCAATTGATGTGATTGGAATAGTGTTTAATGCATTTAAGAGAAGACAGATATTATGTGTTTTTTCACCTGTAGCCTGGAAGATTTCGAGTTCGTTTTCGAGGTTGTAATACTTCTTTTGCTCTCTAGTATTCTTCATTTGTCTACTTCGACTGCTTTAATAGAAACATCAAGCTTATAGCCCAATAATTCGTCAGTTAGTTTGTCTTTGATCATCAGGTTTATGAAGAAAAACTTCGTACTTACAGACATCGTACAACATGGTGTTACGCGTTATCGAAGCTATTGGGCATGGTTAAAAATTAAGACAGCATAAGCACAATTATTCCAGATATTACAGGTTCCAACAAGTAAAGAATTTTGAGAGTCATGACACAAATAAGCTATGTATTGATTATTGACCATTTGTGACATGCTATAATGAGCAAAAACTTAAGAAACTAATAAGTAGGTTTAAAATTGATAAATACAAATGTATTCTGACAGTTTATGAGTTAATTATGCTTTCTATTTGCAAAATTCCTCAACCTTAACACAAAATAAGACAAAAAGTGAATTTTTAAGAAATTTGCGGGATTTCCCGGGTTAAAAAATCAACCGGAATCCCGGGATCCTGGAATCCCATTTGAGAAACCCTAATGGCAACTATGAAGTCACCCTATCTCCCCTAAAATGGGTATACTAAAATGAGCATGGTTACTAGATTATTTAGTAACCATGGGGCATATTCAAAATTGCAGCATCAACCCAGTGAGATGCTGCCAGAAGTGACACAATTGCTGGCATTTTCAACATAGAACACAAATGCTGACTGCCAGGGATATCAGAAAAGAAAAACAATAAAGATGGCAAATGATGCGAACTTCCACATTACATTAAATTTATTTTTGAACTTATTTAATGAGAATAACTTAACAAAAAATTAATATTTTGAAAAAAAAGAGAATTGAAGATTTTTTAATTTTCATGGGAGTTTTAGATAACTAAATCAATCCTAAGATTACACTTTAACAACTAAAACATGTGTTATTAAGATATACTAGTATACTAAAATAATCTATCAAGCACTGAAAAAAACACAATTTGCTAGAAGCACTCTGGCAGCAACCAAAAGTTGTCTGTCATTTTGAACAGAGATGCTGTGAGCTGAGATTCTGAATATGCCTATGGTTAGAGTCTGCCATGACAGACATCACCTCGTGTAGAGTACACGAGGTGCTTTGTCAACATGACAGTTTCCAATAAACTAATATTAAATTCTTAGTATCTTAATTTTAAAAATATTTAATCTGAGTGAAACAAATAATTAATTTTCTTATAAAATTTGGAAGAATTGCAGGGTACATTCATTAATTAATAAACATTCCATATTTGAAGTTGTTTAAGAATCAGAAATCATGATGAAATTTTCTTGATTCCCAATTCCAATTAATCATCCCATCACTAACTAAACCACACATACAGTCGACCCCCTTATAACACTGTTGATAATTCCGTTTTATATGAATTCCATGTTGTACGAGTCACTTAAGATTTTACAAATATGTGTGCCGGGCTATGAATGGCTCACGTATTTGTAAAACCTAAGTGATTCATACAACATGGAATTCATGTAAAATGGAATTATCAACAGTGTTATAGGGGGTTGACTGTATATAATAATTAAAAACTATATGTATATCATGACAAACTAAAACTCAGAACATGACTCTAAAACAACGTTAGTCACCAGTGAATTTTTATTCACATTTCAATTGCTTATGCAGCAAGTAAAGTTTTCAAATATAATCATTATATTTAAAGCTTTAAATTATAAGAAATACTAATTCATCAAATAAATATTTTACAAATTGAAAAAAGTTATATTTTGTATCAAAAGAATTTTTTGCATATTTTTAAGAAAATTCAATATAACTTAAAAAAATAAATCATGATTTCTTTTTAAAACTTTACAATTAAAAAATCATTTAATTAGAATGCAAAACATGGCAGAAATCATTCCAGAATTAAAATGTTAAACATCACAACAGTATCTTTTTAGAACTATTATCTACTCAAGGATAACCTGAAACAGTCAATTGCAAACTCAACAACAAAACATGCATGCTAAAACTTCAAGAAATTTATTCAAAAGTAAATGACATTAAGAATTATCTACAGAATGAATGGTAAATATTACATTTTAGATTTATCAGATTAACTAGCTAATCAATTTATAAGTTTTATTTTAAATGATTCTACTAAACAAATGCTAGACTTTACAAACTTTCTTTTATTTAAACCTTTCAATGGCACCTATAAAATACAANCCCAAGTCGAACTTAGACGAGAGTGACGTATATCCGGTGTGTCGAACTGTCGCCTTTTTATAGCGTCAACATCGGACTCGCTGACCAATTAGTGCTTACTGAACCGTAGCAATGACTATGTAGCAACCGTAGACTATGCAAATGTCATGTAGCGTGATTCCCAGCCGACCAATTAGCCATCACTAACCTTCTTGGCCCCCGAAATATTTGGTGAAGAAAATATGGCCCGCGAGCTATGATAAGTTGGACAGCGCTGTTTTAAATGATTCTACTAAACAAATGCTAGACTTTACAAACTTTCTTTTATTTAAACCTTTCAATGGCACCTATAAAATACAAAATTACAAGAAAAATGCATTTTGAGTTTTTTTTTTTTTTTTTACAAAATAACCCCTCTTCAGTTGCCTTTTTACTCATTGATGCCCACTTAGACGGTATTTGTACAATGAGATGACACTTAGACGGTATTTGTAAAAATACCGTCTAAGTGTCATCTCATTGTCATGATTTTGTCAAACATCTCAATAATACCTCATCAAACCCAAAATGCATTTTGTCTGGAATTTGGATCTCAAGGATGCCATAAGAAGGCTTAAATAAAAGGAAGTTTGGATAACTCTAGCATCTGTTTCATAGAATTGCCATGCAATTATTGGACCATTTAAAATACAGCTATTACTTAATTCTATTATTTGTTTTTCTTATACTTGCAATTTGTTTAAGACAGCCATTCTCTAACTTTTTTGGCCATAGTTTCCCTAAGGTTTTTCTCAAATTCCATGGCACCCATGAAAAAGCCAAATTTGACTGATTGATTTCTTCTGTACTTCTCTCCTATCAACAATATGTTCCAGTTGTTCAAAACACCTTATTGAAGTAATCACTCTGTGAAAGTATTAAGGTTTCAGCCAAAACAAGTTATACATCAAAATCAATGAAAGTTCTGTTCAAAACTATTGAGAAGTTAAATGTTATGATAATTGAAAGAGATGCTAAGAATGAACTTTTCTAGCAACTGTGTGAAAAAATAAAGGAGTGTTCCATGTATTGCTGTTGCATACCAAGGTGAGGCAGTTGTCCTAAATAAAAAAACTATCATCATCACACACCCTATAAACATTGGGTCTCTCTTATTGTGGTTTTCAGTCTGTGACCCTATTTAAAATGTGATCCAAAGGAGCAATATGGCCTCCCCTGAAATGGCTGAAGACATAAAATTTAGTAAAAAATATTTTGATTGATTTCACTTTTATTTAAAAGTGCTTAAAATGATCATAAATCTGTTTACACTAATTCCACTTTAATACAAGTAAATCTGTACAAAAATTATTTTCACCTTGTTATGTAACTACTGAGCTATATCACAATGGTCACTGAGCCATATCATAATGGCATGTTTTACTGTCACATGCACACACAAAACGTATTATTTATTAAAATATAATAATTTATAATAACTTTTTATTTTATTCTTTTCATTTAGCAAATATATCTGTTAAATGAAAAGAATTTATTGATTTTGTCACTAATTTTTTCCTAACAATGATTATGAAAAAAACAATTATAAACTTATCTAAACTTTGACTAATATATCTTTTTATAATATAGAAAATTTAAAAAACTTACATTTTCTAAATAAAAAAAACTTTGTTTTAGAAATAAAGGAATACAATATTTTGAAGGAAGTTATTTGGTTTTTAAGTCTCTTGATAAAATAGTTTGAAAACTAATATTTTCAATGAACATAATATATATTTGATACTTTAATTTACCACATATTTTAAGCGGTGCCTCTAATTCAAGTAAAATTGGTTGGCTAAGGAATATTTCTCTTGATTTCAAGCATAATCCTCTAACTTCAGCTTCTGTTAGCTGTACAGTTTTACCAGGTCTACAACCACGAACTGAAAAAAAAAATAAATATTTTAATATTTTATAATAATTATACATAAGTAAAGAATAATTTCATAATTTCAAATTGTAAGCATAAAAGAATCTGGATTATATCCTCATGAAATGTTTTTCAATGAAAAGATTACTATATAATAAATTAGGAAATGAAATTATTTATTTATTGCTATTACAACCCAATCTCAAAATGATAGGTGTATATTAACATTGCATGTACAATATTAATAAATTCTTAACCATTAAATATTATACATGCAATGTTAATGTTACTAGATTTTGTTTGTTCGAAGTAACAGGATATTAATGAGTAAACAAACATTTGATGATGACAAATTTTCATATGTAACAAAAAATAACCCAACTTTTTGCTGTCTCATAATATTAGAATATCAATCACTTTGTCTCAAAGCAATAGATTATTGTACTTGTAAGGTTATTTACACACACAAAATTAGTATTTCATCAGATGACCTTTACTTTTGATGACTGCCTGATGAGCAGGTATAGAATGCACTAATGTGTGACTTTTCTCAGGGAAAAACTGTCCCTTATAGCCCAATTTACTAATTTTAGATCATCTTTTGTTCCTGGAAATGGCTTTCCTCATTTTCAAACTATTTCTAATTCGTGTTACATTAGATGAGTTACCTGGCTAAGAAAGATTAATGCCCATGTTTTATATCTGGGTTTTGTTGCTTCTGGAGTTATAAGCAGGAGCATGATTGTGTTGAAAAATAAATGTGTCATCCTGAAAGAGATTCTCTATGGAAGGCAATAATGTAGCTTCCAGAATGGTCTAATATGCTGTTGAATCAATCTTGCAGTTCAGAAATAAGATATTTCCCATATTTTGGAAGTCGTGTAACCCTGTATCATACAACCAGCTGGGTGTTTAACTGTCTGCTTAAAAAAAAGAGAAAAGTGTATGCTAGGCATACACTTTTTTTTTTTCCTTCCGACATGACCATGCTCACTGACTCATATAGAACAAGTCCTCATCACTGAAAATGACAGAATCCCAAAATTATGGGGGTACCAATCACTATTTTTTATATATTGCAAACCAGTATCCAAGTTTCTGGAGTCCTTTATTAGTGTAAGAGAAAAATATTTTAATTAGTAGTTTAATTGTTTTTATTAACAATTAAACTACTAATTTAAATATTTTTCTCTTCCATAAGTTGCCTGTAATCTGTAACAGTACTAAAACATCATTTTCTAGTAATGGAATTCAGAACCCTTCTTGTTGTGATACAAGGACAACCTATCCCATTGATAGGTCCAACATGCATCCATTTCAACTATTTTCTGAACAACTTTAAGTACATTCCCTTGAAATATATGGAATTCTCTTTTGACATAATATTCTGTCTCATGCTTTTTTCACAACAAATGATAATTTTCTTAAGCTCAGTAGTCAGGGTCTTTGACCTTGCCATCTTCACTATAAAAATGTCTATTGTGGGTATCACATACTGTATGATATATATAATCATGGCTACTATTAGTTGATTCTCTGCTGCAACATGAAGGAGTATTGTAGATTTAAGCAAATTAATTTAGAAATGACCAGAATGACCATATTAATCATTTTGAGATGGCTTTGCTAATATTTTATCTTTATGAGACAATGTTCATGTTATTTTTTTAAATAGCCACAAAAATAATTACTATAATTCTTGATATGAAATCAGAATCATCCTATCAGTCAGAAAAAACAACAAACGTTGGCAAAACTTCTGTTGCAAGCATAGTATCTAACAAATTCTCTGACCTACACTTTACCATTCAGAATTAATCTATCATTTTGGGATTGGGTTGTATATATTTCTGAGAATGGTGAAAATCTGAAATAAGTATGTAAAAATATAAATAAATTTCCAAACCATATATCACACTTTCATAGTTAAATTTAAGATCTTAATAAATCAGAAATTATACCTAACAATTCAAAGTTTAATATGCAATTTTTTTTGTTAATTAAAAAAATTGTTTATTAATAGTATATTTAATCCAAGAAAAAATAACTCCCTTTTCTAGAAAACTGCTATTTTTAAAGAAAAATTCTTAGAATTTGCATTTTAAGCTGTTACATGCTCAAACAAGTTTAATATTTGGCTGATTTTATTACTTACTTGAGCATGTATAGTAACAATCAGTCTTTCATTCACACTTTAAGCTGTGATTAAAACAGTCAGAAAAAAATTTAATTCTAAGTTTGATGATTTGTTTATATGATTGTTTCTTTTTATTTCTTTCAATACATGGCCCATCACTGGTTTTACAACTGACCAATGAGTTGGTTGCATGAAGTTTTCTGTTTTATTAATATGTCTAACATCTAAATAGGGGCCAGTTTCTCATAGAAAGTCCTCAGAGGAGGTCCTCCTTGGTAGATTGCCCATGTATTATGTTGCCTTATCACATCAATCCAATCCATTCAATAAAGGATAGCTTTCATATGCTGTTTGATGCTAAAAGCTAAAAGTATTTTGGTGTTTAATTGAAAAAGTCAAAAAATTAAAATAAATTTGTATGAATAATATAAATATAAAATTTATTAAATTTTGCTGATAAGTTACAAATGTCCCTTCTCTAATTAAAATTAAAATATTTTATTTAAGCACACACTATTATATTAATTAGTTTTTATTATTTTTACTGGGTTTTGAACAAATCTTCCATTTTTCTGTAAGGACAATATCTTTTTTTTTACATGGTTTTTTAACAGATATTTTTCAGAAACATATCCATCATATAAAAATGGATTTGATATACTTTACTTGTTTGGAACATTAATATGAACTCCATTACAATTGTGACAGTCTGATGTGGTGCCAAGTTCACTGGAATGTTTTGTGGAGATAATCTGATATGAGATAAGAAAATGTTTCTATCACTTCAATTCTTCTGTTGACTGAAGCCCCACATGACATTGTTTAGTGCAGTGTTTCTCAACCTCTAACAAATCATCACCCCCTCCAACGTAGTATCGCCCCCTTCAATAAAACTGTTACGTAGTATTGCCCCCTTCACTTCAAAATTCCGATGCTGAAAGCCAAGGCTAATGCCAAATTCATACTGCATTGAATAGACTAGTGACTAGTATAATGTTATTTGTTTAATTATTGTACGATATAACNCAACGTAGTATCGCCCCCTTCAATAAAACTGTTACGTAGTATTGCCCCCTTCACTTCAAAATTCCGATGCTGAAAGCCAAGGCTAATGCCAAATTCATACTGCATTGAATAGACTAGTGACTAGTATAATGTTATTTGTTTAATTATTGTACGATATAATGAATAAAATATCTAATTATTCTTAGTATAATGTTTTACTATATTGCCCAGAAAATTGTTTTTTGACCCCCAAAATATAAATTGTTACTAATAGCCCCCTCAATATGGAAAAACATCCACATGGGGATATCGTCCCCATTAAGAAACACTGGTTTAGCATCATGTAAGTTCTGGACTCTTTGATGGTCTCAGAGGTACTGGAGATGTTCCATAATGACTAATGTTTTCAATCCTTCAACTGGATCTTCTACTGTATTTGTGGCCATCCACTTCTCCCATGGCCACCAAGGCTTATCTTGTATATTAACTACTGTGATTATCCAAAAGTAAGATTATCATCAACTAAAATTCCTAGACATGGTGATAATGAAATGGCAGATGGCAGAGATGCATTATTTCAAGCTAAAGAAGACAGTATGTAAGATGAAAACAAATAAAATGGCAAAGCCATTTTTGGGACGCAACTATGTCTCGGAGAGCATAAGCAACACATGCACAAATCTCACACTCACACCTGTTTGTAGAAACAGTCTCAGTATTTCGTATTTTCTTTTGATCCAGTTCTCGGTCCCCTAACTACCTACAAGTCTTGTTTATTTTATACGCACATGATTTGGGCACCAAATACTCTGTCAAATCGCAACTCCTGACATGTACTACTCCATATCTCTAAGGTGTGCAGTTGTTGACAGCAGAGAGATTTTAGAGATGAGACATAGTCTCATCAAAAATAAGGAGAACTGCCAGTAAAGCTTCTAAATGAATGATAGAATGTATTGAAATGTCATTAATTTCAATAGCAAAATTTGTTCAAATTACAGGTAACAGGCTTTAAATGCTTTAATATTGAAAACAATACTATTGTCACATTATACGTTTTAATTTTAAGATCTTCATATATATAATTAAAATTTTTGATTTCAATTTGAAATTTCTATAATTGTGATGAATTTGGTGTCTTTTGCACATCATAAAAACAGACATTGAATATAATCATTAATATACAAGCTTGTATGATAAAACTTTTCTTTATTCCATCTTAATTATACAACTGATGATAATCTTATTGGCAAGCGCCAAATCCGACAGAGGGTGCTGTTTTTGAGCCAAGATGGATGCCGAAACAGGTAAGGAACCGACCACATGTTTGTTCAGTGCCTGAGCCGATTCAGTTTCTATCGGTGACGACTACTGCGAAGACCAAATGGAGAACAAATCATTGAATTCATGTCAAATTCTAGACTATATCGGCGACAAGAAACATTGTCTTGTAGAAGGTGAAGCCATTTTGGATATGAGACGTACACACATACACAAAGCATAATGTGTTACAAACTTTTGACTGGCCTATGTTGTATTAAGTGCTGAATGACTCAGCAGGGCAGCCTTCAGATTGGCACTAATTTTAACTATTATGATAAATAAAACTTTATTTTTATATTGGAACATGGTGTATACTGCTTAAAATATTTAAATACTTCTCACCTGTTAACGTGTAATAAACATGCTATCACATGTTTACAAAAACCAGACAGCTCCGCTTTGCACGTGCATTCTTCCTGTAATTGAGATGTATTAAAATGCCAATATCTGAGATTGCAACACTAAAACAACAACATGAATTTCGGTGTTGTTGTTAGAGTTTAATCCACAAAATACGATATGTCCAGCATCCAAAACGGCTTCACCTT